TTTAAGTAATATTTTTCCTGCATACGAAGTTTTGATAATAATGCGATAAGGTCCAAGCTCAAAATGATTGCAGCCAGGTTCCAATAAAGCTGCCCTTTCGCCAACCGTTTAAGTATCTCTAAGGATATTTACGAAATTTAATAATTCGGCTTTTACATGGTAACCACTGATACTGCTTGTTTGATGTCCATCTGATCTTACCGCAGTGCTGGGACGCGCAGCCCCATCACTAGATTAAGCTCCCATTACATAGAAAAGCCTGAGAACATCGAACCTTCCTGCAGCCCTGATGATCTACCATTATAGAGATTGCTTCTACCCAGATCTAGTTTTAAGTTCACTTTTTTTTCACCTTTTTACGCATTTGTACGTATCTGTGAGAGCTAATATAATATCAGTACTAATATTTCCGATGCATACTTATGCTCCGACGCTTTTGTCAATATATTTGTACATTTCACTAGTTTGATTTTCTTTAGTTTTAAATTGACATAACTATAAGTTTTGTTACATGTTCATCAAATTAGTGAAAATTAGGAGCGAGTTTTTCGAGCGGATATAAGGCTGCTTTCATTGAGGTTATTTGGTTGGTTATATCCTTTTATGTACGGTCATATTCTAAGAATTATAAACTCGTACTGTTATCGCCCCCCAAAAAGCATGTAAATTCGAAACGGTTACAAACAATATGTAGTGAGAAACAATGGTGAACTACGGCGACTCAACGCTGTATCGAACGAAACGCCATCTCTTATTCGGCAAGCCGAAAACCCCTTTGGAAAGCCCATTCAGTCCAAGACTGGGTTTTTGATAATTTGAGCCTCTACTGGAAGCAGGACCTTTGGAAAATTTAACCAGCTAAAACGAATTATATTCTGTGTGAAAAACATATGGGCGAAACATCAACCAGCCTGGACGTATCAGCCTCAAGCACTCAGTACTACTACTATAAAGTTGTTCGTGAGGTCAAAGAAGGAAGTTATGAAATTGATTTGTAAGCAGTTTAGCATCCAGATTAAAACATTTCGAAGCAGTCGCGGAGGAGGGGCGTCTTTATTGGTACATACAAAAACCTTTATACAAAATCCTCGTTTCATTTCGCTGGAGTTTACGGTGCTCAAACAGTTCTGTATAAGCTTTTAGTGTTAGGTATAGACATCTTAACTTTTGACACATGGCTTTGTTCAGTGGTACGTGCATGTAATGTAGAAAGTTCACAAAAGAACATGACGATTGTACCCCGATACCCTCTGTGATAGTTTGAGGGTCCTGAATCATTCAGCCTCTAAACCATTCGACTGTTTAGATGGCGACTACCGGAAGGCTATTGACCGTTGGAGCGATATACCCACCTATAAGGTTCGGGAGGCGGAGTAGACCCATTTCTCCGAATCTCAGCGGAATCTTCGGCGGAGCCCAGCAGCACGCTATAGTCCCTGTTTAAAAGCAGGCAGGTAGTCGTCGTAAGTAGTTGCGATGGTGGTGTCAGGGTAGAAGCTGCTTCTTTTAGACTTCTTCTTCTTCTTCTTCTTCTTCTTTGATCACTTTTACGATGTATAGGAACTGACCGACCGTTTGGCCTATGAAAGGTACCGATCGGTTCGTCCTCGCGGGCGTCATCACAGATGCCGAGAAGCCGGCAGCTCTCACAGAAAAAAAAAATGGATGAACCTATTCGCTGGCCACATCGGTGAGCCTAAGCTAAATAGTTGATGTCAATGTCCTGGCATATTCCTAAATAAAGAGGAAAACGAAAAATACAACTAAGTGAACGCTCATTGAAAGCGGATTAGAGTAATCATACCGAAGCGGCAAGAATGGAAATGATATACGGTGCAATACGTGCAACCTACTATTTTCCCTAGAGAGGTAAGTAAAGAACCTTTGAGACGCATTGGAATTACTTAAAAACTCAAACGATAAGCTCAAGATACTTCATTTTTTAGTAATTATGCGGCATACTGCATTCGCAAAAAGAAAAGTACTGTTTGTAAAAATTGACATTTTTCAGCCCCTATTCTTATTTTCCTGTAAACGACTTTTGCTTATGACAAAATTTTACCATGTGAATTTTTAAGTTTGCAAATGCCATTTATTTTTATGAAGACCACAAAGATAATATTCTGGCTATTATTGTTAAAAGTATTTCTGTTTAGGTCAAATGAACTGATCAAAGCGTGTTCGACATAAGTCGATTTCGGTCCAACAATGCATCCTTCAGTTCCCTGAGTTCACAGTATAATATACGTATTCTGCACATTAATAATAAAGGACTTTCTCAGAGAACAACATATGGTCTCAATGCAGCAAAGTATGCTGTTTCATCACTACAAAATCATAACAAGTCTTGCTAACATGCATAGAAATCCAGTTCTGGTGAAGCAGGTATAGTTTTTGACGGGCGTTTACATTAAACGATATTTAAATATTTCGAGTACAAAATACAAGCTTCATAATTTATTTAAGCTTAACGTAGATATAGGCGTATAAAATATTTATACAATTACATTCAGTAGGGCCAAGCGAAACGCGCTTAACTTATTGAGTCAAGTAACATTTTTGAAGAAGTATACAGTCACTAGTCTGATGAGTAGCCCCGAATTGGAGCCACGAAGAATATGAACGGGCTCCTTCCATGCACCAAATGGACGAAGTGAATGCGCCCATCTGGGCTTCTTCTCTGAGTAGGGGCCATCGAGTGCGAACCATCGAAAAATACATTCAGACATCGATCGATCCGACAAAACAACTTATATTGGGTCGGGTTGCGCACCATCGGCGTATACATACGCGTCCTAAAGATGTTTAAAAAAATATATATATGTGTTTTTTCGCATACTGAAAAAAGAATTTAATGCCCATGTTACTACTTTGCTCAAATATGCTTATACGCCATACTAACAGCTAGGAAACGACACGAACTGCCCGATTTCCCTTAATTCAGATTTTTGTCAAATTTACTAAAATTACAAAAATACTAGACAATATAATACTGTAACTCAGGTCTCTTTTATAGTACTATATTCAAGTTGTCGAAACAATAAAGACAATCATAGGACATTTCAAATTCTAGAGAAAGATTACAATAATAGAAAAGAGAGTCGGTCCTATATCCGTGTGTTTGGTTCAACCTCGGAACAGTCAGCCTTTTGTAGAGTGCCTCAACATGTGAAGTGCCCGACCTCGACCCCGACAACCTGTAAGCTATCCAGTCTTCATAGAACTTCCTCCGTTATAAACAGAAACTACCTTTTGTATTAATGCTAGTATATCTTAAGAAAATATTCCTTGTTATCGCTGTTGTTGTTGCTGTAGTTCTGAAATGTTTAATCAGGACAATTAGTAACCTCGCCCCTTTCCGTTTCAGGCTGCGAACAAAGCGAAACACGTTGTAGAGAACTTAGATCTTGCAGAAAAACTATGACCTTTAATCGACCCAGGGCCCTAAAGATTATTGGTATTATTATTATTTATTATATATTAATCTCATAAGTCTATAAGCGTCGCAGAGGAGACAAAACAAAGATTACATATAAATGAATAGTCCCCATGTAATATTATCATAAATATCCTTAACAAACTACAATATATGACCCACTATTAGCAAGAAAATAAATCTCAACCGCACAAACAGGGAAAATGGGTTATTGTATATGCCGGATAGTTTCACTCAAATTTCCCTTCGCCCTAGAATCTCTTCGCCCGATAAGCTTCGAGCATCGATATGATGATTTTTGTTTAGCAAGACCATCATGTTGCAAACGATCACTCAGTGAACTCAGGTGTTTACATATATATATATATATATATATATATATATATATATATATCTGACTATGTATAGTCAGATATATAGAACCCTCCGCAAACGACAAGGAGTATTTTGGGGTAAAGGGTCAGCCAGGGTGGCATAATGTAAATGACGCAATTTCACTGAATTGAAAAATTAATCTTTAAAAACTCTAAGCTCAAGCATTGTATTTATATAGTTGAAGCACTTTGCAAAGAGGGTAGATAATAAGATCTCCAGGCACCGCTCGTTTCTTTGTTGAGCAAACACACTCGATAAGGGTTTTTAAATTTTCATCAATAAAAGTGATTTACTATCATTTTCTGGACTTTTGGTGGACGTTTCTTTTGCGGGTTTTTGCGGCCTTTAGGGTTTTTCAAGTAAGTGCTCACATCGGCATAGCAACCCGGACTCACGAGTTTTAATTAAGGAAAGAACGAGATTTCAGAACTTAGTAGAGCAACTAAGAAATCACCATTTGCGTTAAATTAAACATAAATACTTAAATCATTAATAGGCATGGGTATTTGTAACATAAACTTGATGTTCTGAAGCCCCCAAATGTGTTCGGCCTCATTTTAGTACAGTTTTCAAATTATATATTACAGGTAGCATTATATATTCATAATATGATATTGTTCTATTTTCAGAAAATAATTAATTCAAATAAGTAAAGCCCTCTCCCAGGCCGCCGATAATTAATCGGACTCATACGACGTAAATCAGTAATTCAATACGCTATAGGTTAAACATACGACTGGAAGACGTTTGTTCCGTGACAGTGGAACGTTCGGATGTTTTAGATGACTTTTCTGTTTTCATTTTTGTTTACTTCTTGCCTCAAGCTGGCTAGAACCTAAAGTATACTGTATCGCCGTGCCCTTGCAATAACCGTATGCCATATGGTCGCTATGGCGAGGACAGCGTACATTAGAGCAGGAGCGCCGATCGACGGCGGCTCACCTCCGCCACGACTACGATCAACATCACTGGTAGCACGAGTAACAGCACAGTGGCGACACTGTTCTGCGCAACTAAGCCCACACGACGCGAAGCATCGGCGCAGGCGGGTATCAGTCAGACAAAGGAAATCGGTACAAACAAATAGACAGACTATAAGTATGTGAGCCAGGCAGCCTAGGCAAGCGGCCCAGCCAGCAGGCAATAGCAGTCAATTAGTCACTTGCGTTCCGACCAACACTCACCAAGCAACAGTTCCGATAACAACATGTACGAACGTATATATATATATATATGTTGTATGTATATGGGTACTACTATATGTGGTCGCCGTCTCCGGGTTTCTACCTGTCTGCGGGGATAGGAAACCGACTATCACGACCACTGCCTCAAACCCGTTCAAATTTGTTACCGAAGACATCCTGCCCGGTTGCTCTTCGACGCTATTGGTGTAGCTGGTGCTGTTATTACGTCTAGTCCTTCTCTCCCGGTTCACTATTGGTGCCTACAGTAGCTAATAGCAGTCTGCTGAAGTTGCTCTGTGAAGGGCACTGGTGACGACCAAAACGATATAGGCCTCTTACCTAGGCGCCCCCTGCTCACAGCTGAGCGCAGCCGTGAACGAGAAAATATACACACATCCAAGCTCTCGGCTTCTTAAGTAAATGCCAGGGGGGAAGCGGCCGTATCCACAAAGTAGTATTCTATTTGTTGACGAGTGAAAGTTTACAGTTGCATCTGGTCATGGTGCAAACTACCCAATATGCATTGTTAATAAAAAGAAAAAGTTTGGAATCCTTTTAGTGGGCTTTTCAAGCTGAAAGTAAAGATTTGTATTGCATCACCTGAAAATCGTTATAAACAGTCGGAAATTTTTGGGAGGGGACTAGTCCTTTCTGGTACCAAATCAAAGCAACACAAACCGAAGACGTAAACGAAAGAATGTATTCGTAAATATATACAGTTCGCAAAACACAAACGAATAAATGTTTTCAAAATAACGTATTCAAGTGTACTAACGAAGTTGAAATAAAACGTATTGCTCGTATTCTTTTTCATAAGGAATGCTGACCATAAAGTAGACGTATCTTTTGATACCGTATTTTTCTAGATCCAAAGAACTAAGGTTAAACCAGGTGAATCATGAAATGTAGCTACTACGCTTTATATATTTTTGTCATTTTTCTATCAAGAAGCTCCTTGCTTCATATTATCAACTTTTCTAAAGCGTTCGTTTTAAAATGTCGTTGGTAAAATTAACAAAGGATTAAATACCGTGGTGTGACATCTTAAAAATGTATTCTACATGAAACTCTGTCTGTCAAAACAAGGCTGTCTTATCGCAGTGTAATTCAGGTTAGTGAATCACGAAAGCGCACATCTTATATCTGATAGGATCTCTTAAATAAATCTGAATAGGTTGTCTTAAATAAGACGTAATATTAATATGTGGCTTCTCTTGTTTGGATTTTTTTTAATTATCAGTATTGCTCTGTTCACATCGTCGCAATGAAAATATATATAAAAAGCATGTTTAATCCAAGCTGGGTCCAAGCTCTCTTACCTCTGATATAGGTATTGGTAAAGCTATAGATAGCTTTCAAAACCATAGAAATGCAAAAATCCTCTACTGGTAGTAAATAAGATACTAGAGAGAATACAAACACGAAATAAACTATTGACATTAGAAATATTTTTACCTTGACAGGCTATTCGTCTTGTCTGCACTCAGATTTAACAAACTTGGAATCTCATTATACGACACATATATCATAAAAAGGGAAAGAAGTTAATTTAGATCTTAAAATTAGGTTTATTTATAGATTTTATTCGCTGAAAGAATCTATATCAGTGCCTTGTATAACAGGTTTCGAGCAAACTTAGACCTCTTTTATACTCTGTACCTACTACATGGAACGATTTTTGCATAATGAATCCTGTCGTCCATGTGGATTTTCCTTTTTCGTTTATGTAGACGTACAAATACAGAAGTCATATTGGGTCAACTCCAAAAGAGGGTACTAGTCGTTTAGTATAGAAGCACAGTGCCAAGGCTTTCAAGGGGTCAAAGACCACCAGATTTCCGTTGTCGTGGCGAGGAATGACGCGGCTGCAGGTGGTAACAGCTGCAAAAGAGAGTACGCTTCCCCTAGAGCCTTCTTTCGTCCCTCTCCAAATGCAAGGCCCAAACTTCTTTCCTACGAAAAGCTGCCCAATTTTTCCGAGCTGGTGTTACTTGCTCCACTGAGTCTCGGTGTAGCTCATGACGCCAGAGCTCTGTTTCAACGTAATTTAATTATCTTTATATATTTAAGCATGTCAAAGTATATACAAGAAAGTGATGGCGGTGCTTGACTTTTCAGAATATTTGTGGTGAAAGTAATATTGGCTCTATGTGCATATTATTATGTGCATATTGACGTGAAAACAGATCGACGCTTCTTTTATGCGAATAAACCTTACTCCTTAGGGAAAATTCTATATTCATTTGTTGTAGTGCAATACACTTACCATAACACCAATACCGAGTGTCTATATTGAGATAACGGAGTATACGCTTACGATGTGGACAAATTTGTATCCCTTGACTAATCACGTAATCATTGCCTGGAGGCGGTTTCAACAGATTCCAGACTGCATTAAAACTGACTGGACTGCATTCGACACATAAATTTTTTTTATATTTCAAATCTCTATTCTCTTTCACGTATGGAATCCCTCTACGATGATTAGGACAGCTGAGAGACAATTTGACTGTTTGAGGTCGTGTTCGTACTTGTCGGGTAGCAAGTGCCCTGATTAGCTTCAAAAGCCCTTAGTTTCGCTCATCGCTTAAGTAGCAAAAAAGCAATTGTCCTTGACCGCTTCTATATTTATCCGAACTCGAAATGGCTTATGTCGGGCAAATCAGATGATATTTATTATACCGATAAAAAAAAGATAGTGATCCATTTTATATTTGTAATCCGTTACTGGCAAAGTGTTATTGCCATTTACACTAGTGAGTTAAATGAGTACAGGCAATGGCGGCAAATTCAAAAAGTGGCGTTCATACATGCTGTGAGTTTCCAACTGATCTCAGCAGGACATATAAATAGGCATCGGTGTTACCGACCAGTATTGTTATATTGAAGAGCGAGACAGTCTAGATTCGATCTTTAGAGGTAGGTAACAAGTCGCTGAGTGCGTGTTTTACCCTATCCAATACATCCGCCTACCTCGAGGGCAAAACATCGTACCTCACATAACAATCATAATGACTAACTTCGTTGATCATTAACGATTGAACCATATTCCTATCTTTGCATATATATATATATATATATATATATATATATTAAGATTATATTAAACGAACAAATTATTACTCACGAAATGAACATTCCAAGCTGTATGTGGCATAAGTCAGACAATGCAGGGGAAATTAACTGATGTTATACAGTTATATTTATAAATATGGTTGAATTTCTATATAAGCAAACAGACATAAAAATTAAACCTAGCTCTTTGTGTACTGCTATAAGTGTTGTTATTTACAACAACTGCAAGCTAAGTGTCACGTTAGTTAAGGTGGTTCAACTCGAAATGATACACAATTCTACTATGTAGCGACAAATAATAACGGCGACAGCTTACGAAATTGGACAATTAAAGAGCTTCCAAGGAGAAAGCCATCGTCACTATTATGTAGGCTCTCTCAATGCAGCTGTCAGGGTCTAAGCCATCCACACCGCATAATAAAAATTATGAGAAGAACCGCTTTACCTTTGAGTGCAAGGGAGACTAACACCCCAAAAGTCTATGAAATCCTTGAAAAACCTCATGAACTTCAATAAGTTAGAGTGGTTATCATGGTGCACGAAAGAGTTAGTTTTAACGTGATTTATCGATTTTCATTTAGTGGAATGGTAGGCATACGACAGAAAAGATCAAAAATTTGCTGTCCGAAGTGCGTCATATTTGTGGTAACTGTAATGGCATTTCAGAGTTGGCTACGCTTGCTTATCTAAAACTTAATTAGTTTTTGTACTAATTGGCTTTTTAAATTCAACCGGATTAAGACTACATAAATCAATGACGTAAGTGAGTATCTTTGAAATGGTACCTTTTTTCTCTTCCATTCATCCATAAGGCAAATATGGTTTGTGCGAGCGAAAGGAGATTGTGATGGCATATAGAGAGACAAATAGGTTTTCACTAAACGATTAATTCTGAAAAGTAATTTTTAGATGAGCAGATACTAAACATAGGTGCAAACGTTCCGCTCCGAAGTCAGTTTAGGCAATCCTTCTTTGAATAAAATAGTTAATTTCTTTATTGATCATGTAATCGAGCATTACGTAGTACATTGGAATCTTTAGAAAAATAAAAAAAAAAAAGGAAAAAAGAGTTTAGCGTGAATTGTTAGATTAAGTTGGTATGATTCTCACATGTACTTCTCCTCGCACTGCATTTCATCCGTTCCTACGTTCATGGTATATTGCAACAGTAGTATTGAAGGAATAATCATCGATTGGCATTGATTGACAAACTATTAAATGTAATACCCATAAGTAACAACACGACTTTAGAGCGAAGTTAACCAAAGGCAGCCCACCCGCGTAGACGAACTGGCGGCGAGAAGTCGTGCGAGCGGGAGTTCGTTCGTTTACTGCTGCTGCTACTACTACTGGCAAAGCAGTGGAAATGGCTTTGACATGAGTAATCGTTTAATAACAGATCAACACTCGTTGTCCCCAGCGCCCCCCAAAAATCAAGTTTTATGCCCGTCCGCTACCTATCTCACTACTAGCATCCTACTCGTTTGTCACTTGACGTCGTTGCTGAGGTTGCAATGACGTCGGCAGCAAGGAACTGGGTGTTGGGCTCCATTTTCTGTCTTTCTTTACTCCCAGCGAGTGAATGAATGCACGGATGAATGAGTGGCCGAGCCAGCCAGAGATATCTGGCCTACGCGTTTTGGTCCACAGTTGCCTGCAGTGGTCACCAATCAAGTCAGTCACAGACAAAAGGCCAACCAGCCGACAAGAATAAAAACGACAAAAGAGCACCTGGTGAAATAGCTATAATGTCGAACCCTGGGACGTCGTTATCGTCAGCGTCATCAACTTCGCCGTCAATGTGGCGCTGGTGTCGATGGCGACGGCTGTTGTTGTCAACGAAAACCGTGAGTTGGCGGTGAAATTAACGAGATGCAGAATCGGAGGCAAAGGTAACAGCAGAAGCAGCACACATTGGCGGCACCAGTTGCGGTGCTGCCGGGACGCGCGCTTTCGAGTTCTTTGCTCTGGCGAACAAAGGGTCAGCTCAAGGACACACAACACAGAAGATACGCGGCAGCGATGGCAGCAGTTTCACCAGCGACGAAAAAGCGAGAAAAACGCGTTCACAATTGCAGACGCTCAATTTCTGTTTCGAAGGAAACGAAATGGTAGGGCGCTACAACTTCGAAAAGCAACCTGCAAGAATACACATCCACGAATATCATCAAATTACTTGTCTATCCCTTTGTATAACTTTCGTACTGCGCCAATAAAACATTTCAAATTTTACAAATACAACTGAACAGTCAGGTTTTAGCTCTTAATTAGAGTCGTCACGGGTATAATTCTCGATTAGGCAGAAATATTGGAAGACATCTACCGAAGACTCTAAGATGTCGTTAACTCTAGGATGTGCTTATCAAGAAGTAATAGATAAAAACATAGCTTCTTTATGAACAGATGATAACACGTTTTTTGTGCCTAGATTAACTGTTTTCGTACAACTCCACCAACACAAAACGGATTCATGCAGACGATAGATCAAAAGAGGGGAAAAGATTGATTATATATATAGTCAACCCATAACTTCCCAAATATGAATGGTATTTTGAATTAGAACAAGTCTCCACCCATTATAATCAAGATTTCGAGTTATATAATAGTACCCCATGAACTGATGTGATTTTAAGAAAATTATGCCTGGTGTATCTAATGAATACCACTTCTTCACCTCCATCAACAAGTGGGTGCTGCATGATTTGCATGAAGATCAAGAACAAAAACCTAAAGATGCTTTTTTCCGTTTGCGTTCACGTTATAGCAGTGACTGATTCTTGTATCGAGTTGCGAGTCTTGCTACCAAATATATCTTATATGATAATTGTAGATAGTCACATTTGTCAACAGATAAAACTGAACGAACATCATCCTAAAACAAATGTGCCACTGCAAAGGTTATAGTAGTGTATGCTTGCTGACCTTATACAGATGTTATCCATCAGGAATCATAAGTCTACGGCTGATGTGTGCTATTAACAACTGAAAGTGATGATAAAAAAGCTTCGTATTAAAGAGCCAATTGGTGAATAAAGGTGAACCACTTCTGCAGAAAGTTCGACCTTATATTGCAATCAAGGCGACAAAAATTCTCGACAACCTGTTCATTAAAAAAATATTCACATTTCGACATTATGTCGAAATTTTTCTTCGAGACTTCCATAAATTTTCGTACTTCAGACTTCTACAGTCACTCTGTTGATTTCCTATTGAACCACCTAACATTGGCTTGTCTAAACCTCAAAGAGTCAAACAATTTAAATAACTTTAGAACGATGTATGTACGTCAACTGATGAAATCTGGGAAGGATTCACACTAAGCCTTTGGCTGTATACGAGTGTAAGCCGATTGAGTATAATAAGTTTGAAGCTAAATTTAAACATACTAATTGTTTAGTACTGAAAAATCCACGTAAGGATCTGTTTAGCAAAAGCAGATTTAAACGTCCGCGGTCTATTATGGAAATGGTGTCGGCTCCCCTTGCGCGCTATTCAACTGGTAGCGGATTTCAAATTTCCCGCGCTTAAACCATGCTAGTTACCATTGGCCATGTTGGGAATAGAGGGTGGGGGAGATACACGCGACTGTTTATAAAGGTTTATTGGAGAATTGTAATAGGAATGAGCAGAGAACAAGTGAAGTTATGAGGTGTATAAAAGAAGACATATGCAAAGATACCTTGTGCGCGATACTAGCAGGAATAAAAACAAAACTATATCTATTACCCGCTTTTTAAATTGATTACGGAAATTGAAAATGTTTGGAGCTTCTTCAAAGGTTTAATGTGTTGGAGGTAATGGCGGCACTAAATACGAAAAAGTGAAAAAGGCTCTTTCTAAGAGTAACAAGGCAAGCACGATATACCATATAGATATAGTTCTACGGCATATCATATAAAGAGAGCAATTATGGTGCAATAATATTTATACAAAATTTATCCTATGAAAATTGAAACTGTTTGTATTGATTTAAAAAAAAAAAAACTTTGTAGGTTTTTGCAGAAAAACCTTTCCTTACTTGTTATCTATTTCTTATACACCAGTATTGCGTTACGAGTGCAATTTGATCTCGAAAGAACTGCTTAAATATAAGTGTTCCAGGTGGGTAAAAGTGCAGTTCCGATACCTTTCTACTGCACTTTTCGCCAAGACCAAAATGCTGCCGAAACGGTCCGGGACATTTATTTCGTGAACGGTAACCATACTATTACTAAAAAGAATGGTTTGCTGAGTTTAAAAAGAGTGTCCACAAATTAAAGGTGCCCCCCGCTTTGACGGGCCATCTAAGTTTAATGACGGTCGTCTGAAGGCACTTCTGTAGCAAGATGTCCCACAAACAACCCACGAATATGTCGAAAAGGTGAGCTGAGACCACACGGCCGTTGTTGACCGTTTTAAACTCCTTGGGTTTACACAGAAAGTTAGGGCTTGAGTAGCTCGTGACTTCTCTAAATTGCGGCTCAACCCTGCACCTGAATATTCCGTGCGGTATCGAACGTTACGTTGCCACAGTGACTGATTTCTAGACAGAATTGTTACCACTAAATGAAAACTGGTGTCTGTACGTCAACATACGCGACAGATACGCTCTAGGAGAGGGAAACCAAGGCTTAGGGCTTAACCGGATATTTATGTAAAAAAGATTACACCTCGCGTTTAATGTAATTTATAAATATTAAGTTCTTTTTAGTATTTAAAGAAACATTACTACTTTTCGAGATCATTGGATCCTTGCTAAGGTCGATTGATAAGTTATTTTGTGAGCCTTTGTTACCTTGTTCTGGGCAGAAAGGTCCGCACACCAATTGATTGTGTGCAGAAGCTGCAGCGATTGCAGGGCTAGGTAAGCAGGCGCGCACATTTAAATTTGCCTAACTAATTTGAAATATTGCTGCGGATATTACGAAGTTTTTAAATTTCATTCATTGAAACCGCGCTAGCCATCTTAGTCGTGTAAGTTTATAATGTACACTTTATTTTATTAGATTCCAATTAACTTGTATCCCTCCTAAATAACGTTTTGTTTTATCACTGCTATAGTGAAAGTGAAAATTGCTTATAAACCTTTACAGCAGATGCTCGACATATATAATAAATATATAATTATTTATGTGATGTCATTTTAGCCGTGCCATTTACTTGCCGTAAACGGCAGGATCTACTGCGATGTTTACATTGAAATTAGTCACCGCAAGCCATTTCTGCCTAGGTAATCAAAGGTATGTGGGAATCGATTTTTCCGTGTGGTCCTACGAAAGTGGACGCATAGGCGCGAATCTCGATGTTATTGCTCGATCAGTATTTTGTGTTAGCCATCAAGAATCGCTGTGAACATGAATACAAACGTTATAAAGTAGTTTCCGTTTCTTGTAGTTTTAGTGCGAGTAGTCATTTTGGGGGAGATTGAATAATGGCAAATTCAATTTGCATCCGGAATTACGATTCTTAGCCAAAAAATAGGTCCCGCATTTGCGTAACAGAATCACATTTCGATCTGAACGTAAGCCGATTTTTAGTTAAATGGAACAACTGCGACACCCACTTTTGTTTGCTGCACCTTCGGACTCATACTATGTAAACTTGCTTGTTAAACAAGTACGGACCTATCACAATGACCTATCGCCTGACTATGTGCTTTCCGACCAGCTTAGCCGTTGAGACTTTTCGCGTTTCTGAAAGAAGCAGCGCAGAAAATGTAATAGTGGTAGCCCCTGAGTGCCTTTAATAACGTTGGTCGGTAACATTCACTTAGATGCTTTGTGTAAAGCAAGCAATGCAGAGAAGTTCGCGGAATTCACGCATCTAAACTCATTGTGTTATCTATTATCATGAGGCCTAATCAACTACGGATGTAGTTGAATGTAAAACGGTCAGATGATGAAGCTATATAATCCTAATATATTAGATATATATACCGTTAACTGTTTTTATGCATCACTAGCTACACGCCTATGAGTATCTCTGTAAGCAAAGTAGAATGTGTGCACACGTGGGCTAAATCAAAATTCGCCGCTACCCAATATTTATGCCTGAGCAAACTATTTATCATACTAATAAAACTGGTGTTATTACAACAAAAACAAATTATAAAAACTTTTTACAGCCCTACTTACAGCACTTACTAAGTCTGGTTAACCACCGAGTAAGATTGTCGACGACGCCAACGGTAAGAAAACCTTCTACTTTTCTTATTCTTAGAGATATTCTTACTGAATTATTGCCGATTAGATTATTATATTGAGACACAGCGATATGATTTACAGAAGTGTGTTAAATCTGTCGTGCTTCAAGAAAGGTTATTCCTGACAGAACGTAAAAGCACAGAAAAGCACTAAAAAGACGCGAAGTTTACTTTCAGAATATGAGCGAAGGGCAATTATTATTAAATGTCGTTGAACTGGATTAGAGCTTACCTAAATGAATATTTAGTTTCCTTGATTGCTCAAAATCAATGTTATGGCCAATCTCCAGGTTTCCGACGAATCCTCGAAAGGTTAATGAGGTACAATGAAGGATCGGCAACAGTTACTACAGTGGAAAGATTTGAAAATTCACCAAGAAGGCGTAAAGAGTATTTTCGATGATTCACGAATCTTGACGCAGAAATGATCGATTGCTTTCGATAAGGTAACATGTATCGCCAACCGGGCCATCCAGATGAACCACTATTGTTAGCTGTAGATTTCTTACGCTTAAACCCACTTTTTGCATGAGACATTTTTGGACTACTGTCAGGGTAAGCCTACTGGATATCCAAACGCAGTTTGGACGCCGCTTCTACGAGATATTATATACGTATCACTGTCGCTTAAACATGTTATTTGCGATTTTAGAAGGATTTCCGAGCGCTGTAAATTTTTAATTATAATCTCGATCAAAACAAACGACATTAAATAGACATGCCTGTCGAAAATGCCTCTGTCGGCACATGCGAAAGAACGAAAACGATTGTTTTCGTTTAGATACAGGTTTACGAATAAATGACATCAAGGTCCTTATACACCTATGCAATGAACATGTCTTCTAAATGGAATCTTGTCGAGATTACAGGTTATTTAATATAGCCTCTGAACTAATTGAGCTGATGGGCTGGCCGCTTCGCCGGACTAACCAGGCAAAAGGTTGTTAACTAAAAGTCAAAGTCATAATAGGCTAGTTATATTAAAATAGCTAGTTAGAAGTTACAAACAGATTTTTTATGCTTAACCGACGAAAACTTGAAGGGAAGTAAGCGGCACATCTCGTGAGAAGTACATAGATATGAGAACCAAAAAACATCAGCACGGAAGTGCTGAGAAAACTGAATAACGAACTAAGCATATTTATTTAGCGACGTTCTTCAGCACTCGCATCCATTAAAAGTTTGAGAATAAATTGAAGCAATATACGCCCTAATATCTCTAATCGTTCGCTTTACAGGATGAAACTAAAGGTGCCCGTTTGCTATTCTGAAAGAAACTTCGGAAGGAACTAGTTTCTAGATGGGCCGATTAGCCTTTCACCCCCATACCTAGATTAGATAATCGATTTGCACGTTAGAATAACTTCATCTTAACTAGGGATAGGTCACCATCTTTCGAGGCTCAAATATCACAAATGTCAGAAAGCATAGGTAGTCCACCGCTTAATCATAGAACAACCACATGACAATACATTTGCATTTAATTTCGCCTTTTGGTATTAGGACCCAGTGATTCCTGAATTCCGTGATACGTGTTTTAAGAGAAGTGCAATAACTAATGGCAACCATTGATGATGGATCGGAACTATAGTAACATGCTCACCGCAACAACGAATAAACCAAATCGCAGACACATCAGATACATTTAGTAAACGCAGGCCACAGCTGTCACACAGCTAGAGTACTATACCGGCTAACTGATGCCCAGCACAGGACATCGACTACGTTAGAATATTATACAAGAAGAAAGAACAGGAATTTAAACAAAAACACTCAAAATGTACCTGAAACTTGTGTACAAAAAGTGTGTTTTTCTGCATACACGCTCGTTTTGTATTCGAACGGCTTTCGCTATACAACATCTCTTAATTCAAGAATATATACAACTATTACAGATCACAAACAATACAGCAGGATAAGTTAAGCTGTCTAGGAAGGACATGATTCAAGATTTTAATAGCTCTACTACGCTAGACTAGATATTTATGGCAGAGACCCAATCACTGAAACACGCTAGCGAACTACTTTTCCCGTACTAGCTTAATGCCTAACCGAAAAATAAGCCGATAATTCTCGATAATATTTATTTGCATACGACATAGCATGCTGGCAAGTCACTCCTTTTGTTTCATTTCCTATGTGGCACTATATCTATACTTACCTTCATGCTGTTACATTTAACCGCCCTGTATGGATAGCAATCATTCTGCTGCTGCTCACACACTCATTTAGCATCTGTACTAGGCACTGTCCATGCGCTTCATATATTCACGCAATGTCAACATAAGTCATTTTTCCTGAACATCCTAGACTCTATTTGTTTCCCTATTAGTTATTCTCTGATATGCTCATTCGAACTTCCTACACTAACTCAGTCGGGACAGAATTCACCTGCTACTAAATCGGCCGTCGCAGGACGAATCCCAAACGAGACGTCACATAAAGTACACAAGTGGTTTCATCACCTCTCGAAGGAACGTCCTTCGCCAACGCAAGCGAGTGAATGAATTAGAAATTACATTTGTGTATGTGTTGCGCTTGCACATCTTTCAACGAATGTGTGGTACACGTTTATCGTTGGAATCGACTCACTTCAGCGAGAAGTACACGGACGCATGTACCGGCGAGCCAAATCACTGTCTTAATACTGCCAGGCAAAAGGAGGATATAATGGTAACAATAATACAGTGGCAATAATGTAGTGATAGCATAGCATCACCGGTAATATGAACCATGACGACACGCCAAACCAGCAAGCGACGTAAGACGTGAAGAGATTTGCGACCACTTCATAACATAATGAGTGATAAAGACAATCATCTCAAAACATTTGTCGGAAACGTTTCGATTTCTTAAAACAAATGTTTAACAGTTGAAAAGAAATGAAAAAAATATAAACAGAATTATATAATTACTTGTCTCTAATTAGATGGCAAATGTAGTTGGATCCAATACTTAGATAAGAAAACCGTTGAAGATACTCATCATCTAGGCACAAAGGCAATTGCCTCTGCGCTAACGATAATTTAGTTGTATGTCCTATATTAAAAAATTTGCTAAAATTATTTAAGGCATACAACTGAATTGTCGTTAGCGCAGATGTAATTGCCTTTGTGCCTAGATGATGAGTACCTTGAACGATTTTGATATTAGAAAATTAGGTAAAGTTATTTTAGGATGGCGTAGCTCATCATTATAACCGGCAAGGATATAATTTAATATTAAGAAGAGCTGTAGTTAGAGATTTCCTATTGCACATACGAAACTCACAACTGCATATCGGCGAACCCATTCATGAATATGACGTTTATACACAAATACTAATGTCGAGAGTTTAGTCACAAATGGTCATACTTAAATACAGCACGCTGTTTAAAATCAATATGACGAACACCCGCAGGCGTGTAAATTTTTTGGAAATCAATTTCGATGTCGCCTGAAATCAGTGATGTAAATGTGCATAGAGCTATAATATCTACACTCTATCTGGAATAAAAAGTAATCCCATTATGTTGATATGAACATTGAAACAAAGAGCCTTCCTCTAACTTCGGGAATAACTTGTAACACGCTTCAGCTAGCTGAAGATCGCAAAGACATAAAACTTCCTTAACATAAAAGGATGAGTAAAAAAGTTTTATGAGAACTCAACATCAACTTGGAACATCAACTTCAGTCACAACAAAAACATCAAACCTTCTATGAACTGTAGGCAAGATCTTTGTCTACAATAAGACTACACCATGGGTCTTTATGTGAACAAATACGTTTTGTTACGTTTTCAATTAAATTAGTTCCTCATTCATTTCTTCACTCATACTCGTTTCTTCATCATTGCTATCTAGACCTGCCTTCCGCATGAAACATTTCTGTCTCGCAGGACTCGAAAATATACGACATTAGTACCAATAATTAAATAGCCTATTTCTTAACACAGATCATACTATTCGTTCCTTTATTCTAAATTATGTAGCATTTATGTTTTAATAAACAGAAATGTTTTTTTGGTCCGACCCTCAGTCTGGAGTGCCTTTTAGCCTTCCAGCTTTGAATGTCGGATTCACTAGCAGTAAAAAAGGCCATAAGTTGTCTATGTATTCGGATCTGCGAGAATCATCAAAACAGTACTTTTTATATCGTTTTCACTGTTTTTATGTTGTCTTCGTGGTTAAATATTGTGTGGTATTTTTTTGGAGCCTACCCATTGAATTCAATCTTATCTTGTACAAACCGATTATACTGTCCATTTCGGAAATATATGTATGTATATACGCATCCTGTATATATTATATAGTATATTTATAGACTGTGTGCTCTGTTCAGTTGGATGAAACACTGTGTGTTGACTTCCGTGTATGTACTTGCTATGGATTATGATTTGGCTAATTAAAAAACTTCAAGCAGTCCTATTGACTACGGGAGATCACCGACCGCTGAGTACCAAAGAGGAACTCTTTTTCTCTGAACAATGTTTACTGCATTGCGTCACTTCAAATGGCAGTCGCCTAATTTGCCTGATGCTACTAAATCAAACACGGCCATTTGCTGCTTAAGCGAGGTGGGTCCTATAGACCTGAGTACATTAAATACATGGCGAAGAAGAATAGAAGTGGACACTTAAACTAACTACACATGATACAATGAAGTTGCTATTTTTACCAGTTAGTATCATTTTTTTAGGGTTAAACCTTCATTATCAGATATCTACGTTAAATAAAGATTACAATCACAGGCAAAGGATATGTCAAATGTTGTACTAGCATTAATCATGAAACGTAAAGCTCAATAACGTAATCAAGCCACAGGATATAGTATATCATGTGAGTAATAGATAATGCAGCAAGGTTGAACGCTAGAGCAGTGCTATATCTGCCCATTTGTTTTTCGAATTTAATGTCAGCTGTCATCACAATGACAACGAAATATGAACCGAATACAATTATGTGCCTTTTATACCTCCTTCCGGTATGACTGGTTCTACATGGCTAGACTTCGATAACGTGGTTAATAACGTCCGTTTAAGATGTGGTGGCATCTTCTTGCTCCGCAGTCTTAAGAATTGATTCGAAAGAGAATGGCGAGAAGAGGTAGCCTTCGCCATGATAGAATTTGCTCTGGAATTCCACCCTGTAATAGTCACAATACGTAGAAAAAAACGGTTAGCAATTATGATTTAAGGTTAAGCGCCGTAAGCTGACATTTAAAAACAAAGCCCTCTAGCGAGGAAAACAAAACGTAAGCGCCTAATCGTAGAACTGTCCATTCATAATATTAATTTTGAAGTTGCATACGCGAAATATCCATGAAAGCGGTGCTCTGCAGAAAATTAACGTTTACCAAACTTTTCCTTTGGTATTTATATATACAGTGACAACTTTTACCGTTTTTTTTTCTTGCTAAATCGTGTATTAGTCCAGCCTGTTCGAGTTTGCTCGTAGAAGCTTTCTTATTAGTCTCTGTAACAAGCGTTACAGCTTCGTCGATAAGAGCAGGCATATTACGCTTATTAAATATGACTCACTCTAGAGTAAAATGCTATCTTACAATGCAATTATTCGAAAGTCAGGCATACGTACCAATGAAGTCGGAGGGCGTGCAAGAAGGCAGACAATCCTTCCATCAACAGCAGGACCATAACAGTCAAGCAGGCCCAGAACCCAAACATTACAAACAAGATCACTCCGCCCTGCCATCCGTCCTGGGCAAGACCCATGCGTAGAACCTAAGATACAAATTTTTTCAGTTAATTTTAATTCCATCGATTTACTCGGGAAAACAAATAAGAAAGTGTGTACTAAATTAACTCCATTGCATTATAATCATTAAGTGAAGGCTGTCAAACGTGTACTCCGTCGCATATGTCTATGATCGGAAGGCGGGACATATGCCGCCGAATTTTCATCTAAATCGAATTTCATTCCACAGAATTCATCCACTTATGCAGCCATTCAATTCTAACGAAATAAACTTCTTTTATCCATGCCTTAGATATATTGAGAACAACAAATTTATTTATGAAGTTGAAGTTGCAACATCGTACCATGTTCCACAAAACTTCGGACAATTGTGAGTGAGCCAATGAAAGAGCCCACAGGCGAAGATATGATGCTGTGTGAGACACAGCTCCCAAGCAAAATTCTATAGTGTGAATTGTCTGCAATCGGTCACGAAAAGAGTAGAAATTATTAAAACAGAAACTTACGTTTAATGAAGATAAGAATTAATGAAGTGAGAGAACCAGCACATCACCTCATATCTTTTCTTTAATACAGATCTAACATATTACTTATTCGTAAAGTGTTATTCAATTATGATACCTGAGTAATGAGTATCTCTCCAAATTCAAAGTGATCGAAGGACACTCCATGGCCTAGATCATGTCCGCCAGCCACATTGTTCACCACCTAAAACCACGAAAATCAGACCTAGGTAATAGCGGTTAATTAAATATGCACATTCCACATATTTGCAGGTAATAATCATCATACGTAGCGTAAATACGTAATGAATTAGCAATTGCATGAGTCACTTATCGTGATTTCTTCGTTGCGAGGATTAGTAGTTGTTAAGAGCATAATCTAGCGTTATTGCAGAACAGAAGTGCAGGTTATGTTGATGTGTCACATATATTTCTTACTGAAATCTGTCAGTTAGCAAAATTAGTGGTTCTTGATACTGTACCGTTTCATGGGCAACAGGCTGCTGTTGAGCGATAGTCCCATCTTCATTGTACGTGATCTGAGTCTCATCTTTTTGTTGAACCTAAAAAACAGTGTGTGTAAAACAGAGCTTGCAAAAACGTTCAAACGCAGCATGTACGAGTTTACTGCTCATTGCTTATTTGAGTACTATAATGCCGTAATGTATCGCATAACCAAAATAATTTGACTGACTATAGTTGTCGTCATTTTCAAATCGTATTAGTAACACAAATGTAGCAAATGGTATCACTTTTCGTAAAACTTAAGCAGCATTCAATTTAAATAAAAATGTTTTCATATTTACTGCATTTCTATCCGATGCTTACACCGATACTCAAATAACTATTTATTACCTGGACCGTATTGGTGCTCTGTAAAGTTCCATATTGTCCATTTTGTGCAAGCCACATCTTGCGTAAGATTAGGGGTTTCGACAAAAGAATCCAAGGCACGCAGATGAAGGCCGCAAGAACTAGCAGCGTCTGAAATCGGAAACAGCCAGGGACAGAAAAAAAATATATAAAATTATACACCATTATAATACATGTTGAATACTAAAATGTGTTTAAAAATCGGGCCAATCAAAACAATTAGCGTGCAAGCGGGTTACTCAAAATGGTTTATCATCTGGATGAAAAGAAAAACCACACTTGCTGTATTGGGCACTGGATTTTTTGCAAACCCTAAAACTTTTCGGGTTAATAAAATGGGTAAAAAATTTATATCTCGCATTTTACACTAAGTTCCAACTATATTAAAGTGAAGGCGTCAAGAGACAACTTACAGCCTGTAACACTTATCCTATTTATAGCACAAAAGTTGATTTAGTCTATATGTACTTGCTGGGTGTTTGGTTATGAAGGTGATGACCTTGAGCGAGCTTCATGATAAAGCAGGTCTGTCTACAAGCTCTCAATAGCTTTTTACCTTAACATGAGTAATTCTTTGAACGTACCTGCACAATCTGCTGTCCTGGATAAAACGGTTTGGTAAGGCAATTACTGCTTTCTTTCGGGTAGTTGAACATCACCATGTTGATCAAGAGCAAAAGAAGAGATGGCGCACATGATGTGTTCTGAAATAAGAACACGACTTTTACTAAAATAATTGCAACATTAACTATTTTCGTCCCATCTTGGAGTCATTAGTTTTAATTTGTTAAAGTCAGTCACCTGCGGCTTTCTGACCAACACACACTTAGATATGTCCAATTAAGAATTAAATTTAATGCCGATATAGTGCAACGATTACCTTAATCCTTATTATGAATCCTGAATCTTTACGGATGCCTTATTTACCTTATTTATACCTTGTTTATTAGATGCAGTACAACATGGTTATTAATCTATATGTTCCGATCATACCGGATATCTTCTTAGATTAGGTACCTTATATAAATTAAATATTGAAATACTAGATATCATTATTGGGATTGAATGATCTAATTGCTCAAGATATTTCTTGCCGTATATCCAATATGGCATGGGTTATTCTGAATTAATTCTAAGAATAAACGTTTATTTGTATAAGATTTAGAGACTATAGTCAAATTGGCACCTGCGGCTGGAATAAACCTACCTCGTAGACTTTCATCCATTTCCCTAAAATGCAAAGGACGAGATAACCGAAAATTGACATAAGGAAGATCATCTGCGGTATGAACTCACAAAGAATGCTCAAACGGTTCTGAAATAATTGACCCCAAAAAACGAATATTATCCACCACAAATTATTTTTCTCATTATCCGTACACGAAGATATGAACAGCTGGAATAAGTGAAGAAAAATGCGGAGTGGCTATAGTAACAGCTATGCAAATTAAAGCCTATCATCGTAATGCTCGCCATTATATGAAAATCAACTGAAGATCATAGAATGAATATTGGATCAAACAATTATTGTTTCAAAAATTACGTTTCAGAAAACACCCAAACTTTACAATAAGTAATACTGTGCGTATGAATTAGCTAATGTTATTCCTTAAACTTTTATGTTGGAATTTGGAAAATAGTAAAAGTATCTATGTGTCGTAAATTGACAGAGATTCGCATGCGATGCTTTCATTTGAAAGGTATGTAACAAACTGTGAGAATCTTTCTGATACGATTCAGCTAAAACAAGTTGACGTGATAAAATGTAACCTGGAAGAATCGATGATTGTAAAAGGAGAGCACCACGCCAAATGTCATTTGCATCACACCGAGAACCACCGACACCTAAGACCAAAAACAAAATATTTAAGATGGAATTCCTTTCTTAAAAGTAGTTAATAATCATAATTTGCTAGCAAAGTCTACGTGTATATAGTAAGGATTCCCGAGCTTTACTTCACGATAATGAGAACAAACTGGTTCTTTTTTTCTTCAAAAAAGAGGGACAAATGTATGATGTTGTTTTATTAGCAACGTTCCAGGAGATGAAAAAGAGGTTTTTGATGAAAAAATCTAGGTCTTTTTCAACAAAAGCATGTTCTGTAGTTGAATTCTTTTACTGGAACAAAAATGATTTTATGAGGTTATAGAATAAAGAATATCCAAGAAGTGTCCGAAGCTTGAATTAGAGACCGACACGCTTACCAGAAGACAGACATTTAACTCCTGCATTATTTTTAGTTGACATAATTTCACACCGAATATAATTGACTATAATTCAATATTGTTCTAACAAATGCTAAATATCTATTTGTTTATTATTTTGTTCACTAACATCCAGGTCCTAAGTTAAATGCTCAGTAAAAACAGATGTTCCACCTCTAAAATCGAGCCGAATATCTGAATTGTTCGGAAAATAATTTTGATATCCTTCTATACAAATAAAATAGCCTTTAAACAAGTTAAACAGTGCTTCACAACTTGAATAGTCATCAGTGTCTAACCTTCATCTTGTACGAGTTGATGAACGGTATCTTGTTGGTGGCCAACTGCCAAATTGGATCGAGGCCAAATGGATAAGGTGTTCCAGTATAGCTTTTGGCCGGATCCAGCATCTCAATATTAGAGTAATTATCTTTCGCAGGAATATTCCAATGACTTCCTATGACATTCAGTGACTTCGAGAAGCAATCGTTGTAAATGAGACCGGTATAGATTGAAAATGCACCCATCAATAGAATTATATACCTGTAATAGTCACCAGACAATGCACTATTAATGTATATATATATGAGAAACAAATGAAAAATTAATACGACATTAAAAAATTAAAAATAACTGTAGGTAGAAAGGAATCCTAGATCAGGACTCATACTACAGGGTTAAATTATTCACTGTGTTGTCCAAGTAAGACACGAGCGTGGGACGGAAAGTTAATAAAATTTTTAAATCTCTAAAAAATCACGACATCGACCACATATAGTATTAATATATATAGTAGGTTAAAGGGGGGTACCCTTCGTTTTTTATGTAGAATACTTACCGCCCGCCAAAAAAGGTGTTCCACATTTCATCTTTGGATTTCTGGGCAATGATGCCTTGCTCTTTAAGGACCATCCACAGCGCAAAAAGAAACATAATAAGGCCGTGGCCACAATCACCGAACATTACGGCAAATAGAAATGGGAATGTAACGATTGTGAACGGCGTAGGGTTCATCTCTCGGTAAGATGCAACCCCGTATGCATCCACTATCATCTGGAATGCCGCCGTAAACTTATTTGTGCGATTGTAAGTTGGTGGGGTTTCCTAAAATTGAAAGAAAAATATCAGTGTGAGAACAGATCAGCAAGGGCACTTTGATTGAGAATGCGCTTTGCGTTTAATTTTCTTCAGTTGCGGCCAAGATGGTACATCACTTTTCCTGTTCGTCACATTATCCTGTTGTATAGTATAAAAAAAGAAAATGAGTTTTATAGAGCTGTTACATGTCTACATGAATTTGTTCAAGATCATTTTTTTCCCACTTCGCCATCGCTTTTCAATTATGTGAACATAACAAGCTAATATCGAATCTAAAAGAAATTTAGTATTACGCCGGTTATAGTACTGGAAGATGAAATTTAATTAACATGGAACTGAATGTGTCAAATACGATGTTTCATTTTTTATATTACATAATATACTTACATTTACCACAGAGGAGCTTAAAAAAAATGTTTGTTGCTCTATTCTTGTTCTATTTAAATCGAATTCATTCGTTACTTTACTTTAAGTATACTTTACCCGATACACTACAACGGTAACTTTCACTGCAAGCTTCCGCAATTAGGTGCTGCTACAGATTCTCTCTTGTTTCATAGTAAAGCGAACCACAATGTTAGACAATAGGTAGTTGCCCAATAATGCATCTATGTGAAAATTATTATTTCTTATAAAATATCGTAAAATATTGTATTATTATGTAATATAACAAATAAATGTAATCTAGGATTTGTAATAGAACTACTTTTTCACTAAACAGTATTTCTATTTTAATTTACTAAGATGCGGTAAAAAGTCGGTCTTTTTGGCATCCAAAAAGCGACGGCTGTGACAATCAGACGGCCATAGGAAATCTATTTTTTCCAAAACATTTCAGTAGCCAAACAAAGGGGCTTCAAGCATGGCTGACGGTCATTGCTATCTGTACCTTTGTGTCCATGCGATTAAGAATGCACGGAACGCTAGATCCGGATTTTTCAGTGCCTCGTCGTAATGCGTATTGGATGCGATCGATGTCCCCAACGGCGCACCATGCTTCGGCAATAAGACACTTTTGTGTGACGTCGAGATTGAACAAATTCAAAGTGTGGTAGATGGCCTTGATCTTACGTACTTTGACCACCCTGCAAATAAGTAACATCGTACCCATGTTCAAAAAACGCAATGACAGCAGCCGTGTTATTGATGAAGGCAACAAATCAAGGAAAGCTGTACTTAATATAGATAGATTTTTTGGGCAGAAAATAGTTGATGTAGCAGGTATTATTTTCGGCCAACGAAGCTTTCTATGAGTACAAATAGATCTTCGTACCAGTTCTGAATATTTTTAGCGGCTGCAGCTAAAACACGATGTCGGTGATCCTGTGTTTGCCTAAGAACAGTGTTAAGATCTTCAATTCTCGTCATTACTCCGACGCTCATTTCACGGCGTTCTATCGGTGTGTCTGGACAGGGGTATAGTGTAGCCCGGAAACTTTCACAAATCTTTTTTACCTGTATTTATTGCGAATAGACAGAATGGATACAAGAGCAAACTAATATGAACTCGCAACTGTACAAAAGGACGTCTATAAGCTAAACCATGACCTACGAAAACAGTGCCCCTAAAACATAGGCCATTTTATTTTAGCCTTTTTATTCCAATTCAAATGAAGTTCTCTATTCTTGCTGCACATATAGGAAACATTTAAAACGTCAAAAAGCACCGAGTATTTAGCTCTAAGGGAATTCAATCGCCATTTTGTTCAGCAAAAATAATGAGACTTTATATATCACATAAATCTACCTTAGCCTTAAGCTGATCTCCTTGGAAAAAGATGATAAACACGCTTTTATAGACACGGTCCCAGGATGAGGGATCCTCTAACGGAACGTCGATGTCACATTGACGCAGGAATACGTTGCCGTGACACACGCGCCAAAGGAGACGCTCGAACGATGGAAGGCGCTCGCGAAGAATGACGCCAGCTACGAAGCTGCTCGTTTACAACAACAGTGGTAATAGAAATGTATAATATTAACGGAAATTATGTACCATATTGATGACAAAGCATCTAAACAATATTTACTACGCTAATAGCAAGCTACGTAATATATCTTGAAAATGAATTATTTTTATCATTTTTTCAGTTTTAGGTAAATATGTGTAAGGATATCTCCAATAGCGTATAATGATTAGTCAAATTTGATTGTGGAAGAGGTAACTGAATCGCAAAAGTTTAAGAAGCTTTCACAACTTATCGATCGTTTGGCTTGCCATAGCAAGTGCTCGAGATCATTACAAAAGCTACGGCGTATAGCCCAGATAAAATGATGCTACAGCGGGATATCGTGATGCAAAAACAAGGCTGACAACGCATTGATCATTTTTTAATGTCATTGTACAATTAGCACCAATCATAATGTCGTGGGCTTTCAAAGCACTCATAAGAATGAAGACAGTAAGTTCAGTTTAATAAAGATAGTACGAAACAATAATTTCAGGAGATCATTTCAGGAGAAATTATTCAGGAGATCCGTAATAACACTATAGTAATTACAGTTTAAGTTAAGCAGCATCTGTTTCGATAAGGCTAATAGTTTTATAAATAAAAGCTCATTTTTTTTCTATCCGTATATTTACGTATCCTTCAGTTGTATTGACCTTTTTGCCGCAGCCGCTCTTCTCCTATTTACTGTTGGTGAGACAATTTTCACACAGTGTATCAGTAATTATACGCACTTCTTACTGTCGTAATGAATTTGCAAATTACCACAGCATAGCCTGGATCAATGAACCTAACACTCTACAGTAGCTTCAAGAAAGCTTTCTACTTACCCAAGCTTCATAGCGGCGGCTCCTTGTACGTTCTGTGGTTGCCCTTGCCTCGCATCCTCTCCAAGAAGGGTTGTGTGCTCGTCGTGAGTCGGTCCCCCGTCACCCATCTGAAGTATCCCGTCATCATCCCACGAACTTCCAGTCATATATCTCACCACCGGATCCATAATACCACCCTCTCCGGCCCATGCCGTCGGACTTTTGCCTATGCCCATGCCAACCTGTGCGTTGGCGTTAACAGGTAACGCCAAAATGGAAAGATAGCCAAGCGCCCATAGGCATAGATAGACATCATGCAATAACCAAGGCAGTAATTTAACCGATAATAGCTTAGTATGCACTAAGAGGAAACTTAATAGAGAAAGCTGAAGAAACACAAGCAAGAATTAAGTAAATCAATATATCCTACTTTGAATGGTGACATCAAGCAAACCAAATAAAAACTACCAACGTGTGCGCTAACTAAGTTGAAAATCAAGGAAAAGACAACTACAGTGATTTGTGTATAAATAGTCAAAGGATCAATTAATACGAGCCATGTTTCATTTTACTGACGAAAACACGCCTACATTAGGCTTTAATACTCCTAATATGTGCCGCCGACAATCAGGGATGGAGCTAATGTACAAACTCTGGTTTGCTTTATTTTCATTTCGCCAGACAAGACCTCTAAAAATGTAAACGGAAATCATTAACTATATTCGATCTAGCAAGAAATGTCAAGCACAAAAATATAGTTCTATTAAATAAAATATTTAGTACATACGTACCACTGAAAATAATATAAAAGCATATGCCGTGACAACGTATCAATGGCATCACCTGTACAGGTTAGCAGGTGTACGAAATCAAGCAGCAATCGTGCAGTGGTACGAATTCAAGCCAGAATAAGCCCTTAATTGAGTAATTAGATGATCGAATACAAGCGTAACAAAGTAAAGAAAATCTACCTTGAAAAAAATAATGATATAATTTAATATAGAAATAATAAAATAATAAATTCAAATAAAGATTTTTGATCCTCTATTTACGAAAACTTGTAGTTAACAAAGATGGCAGAAAGCGATTCAAGCATAGGTAATACCACGAGTAGAGCGAACTTTACGACGAACCGTTACCTCATCAAAAAACTGTTGAGTTTGTTTGAGGATATGCTTGAGTTCTGTGAGCTCGAGGAAGGTTTTCTTGAGAGCCTCAGCATTTGTATTCACCTAAAACGAGCCGGCAAAGTACAATGATTATGTGACAGAAGATTGAGCTAGCAAAATAAATGCACATCACAGCAATGTTTTTCTTCGCCGTATCAATGTCGTTATTGTAGATTGAAAACAGTCAACCGTAAACCCGTAAATTCCATTGAGGATTAGTTTTAAACTAAACAAATTGAGAAGACAATTCATTTCAGACTCGAGAATTGTACGTCAAATCGGATCTGTGGATTCAAAAAAAAAAATTTCAACACAGAAAAACTACCTCATTGAGTTCGTTTTCGAGTTTCTCAAAGGTTGCTTCTAGATCAATCATCTCCCGAGGCTGAGGCGCCTCAGGATTGTCGCCGAATGACATCATCGGAAGGTTATCCTTCCTCACCTCGCGTTCTAGAAAACCTGCCAACGAGTGAAATAAGCTTGTTAATATCGTTAGCAAATTTGTAAACGCACTAATACCGCAACACTCATAACGGACCACTATCCTGAAGCGTAAAATAACTTTAGTGAAGATTTTTATGGTGCGATGTTTAGCATAATCCTGATACGTGATTTTGAATGTATGAAGTTTTATATTCGGACCCTGTACAGTCAAGCATTGCTTCAGACGGCTAACTTATAGTACGAAATGTAGTGTGTCTACGCCCAGATACAAAACTGGACTATCACATGTCTTAGAAAGCAATATAAGCTTAGTAGGTAAACACGTCATCACAGCGCCATCACAAGAACAAGTGGATTTCGATTTTCAGTTGATAACTGAAGATCTGCATCAAAATACCAAGACTTGAGATTCGAGGATATCTCTAATCTTTAACGTCTGAAGAAAAACCTGAAATATCTTTCTTGAACTACTACTATATTACAAAGTTGAAGTTTGTAATTCTTATTTTTAATACAACATTGCACAGGCAGTGGCTTGAGATGACTTTTTCAAACTGGAGAAGCATCGCATTCAACTGGGGCATCAATTGTCCCTTCAATGAATCGGGTGCTATTATTCAATATGTACAACTCGTAAGCGTAAGCGTAAGAAACAACTCTTATAGAGTTGTTTCTTACGCTCGCAAAAATACTACTGCGAAGATTTTGTTCGAATACTAACGGCATAGTCTCATATTGAAATAGTGCCTGTTGCGCTGATTCGACCTGGCTTCCCGTGCGCTGAGAGTTTTCATAATACTTGCTTAGCGTTGGAAGTTCTGAACTAGTTATTTAAAATCCTTAAAGAAAATGCAAAATGAAAATCGGCTTATTTGATTAAAACACATTAACTGATCGAATCAAATGATCATACATTATGTCGAAGTAAAAGCTAAAAACTGATTCCAAGTCGACATCTACTAGATTACTAATTTGAGATTAAGTTCGCATCATAATCATTGAATTTCGCTTATTGTGTTTTTACGGCTGTTAATGAAACGTATTTAGTAAGCAGTTAATTTTAGGAATACTAGTAATCTTTATTCTTTTTAATCGCTAAAAGATTCTTAGCTAAAAGATCGCTAAAAGACATATTTATCCTACAGTATCTTAAGCTGGATATCATTATATGTATTTCGGAAGGGGATATCACGATGTATTGAAATTTTGAAAACAAGGATAAGAGCAGACAATATAACCTTGCCAGCTAGAGAACGTCGTGAGAAAACGGGTCACGAGCTTCTGGAATGTTTTAACTAAGCAACGATATTGCTGTATTAGGTCTTTAGCACGATATTGAGGACTAAGGTAAAATGTTAAATAGTATATGCTTGTCAGCAAAAAAGCTGTGTAGTACATAACGCAGTACCAAATAAAGCAATCAAGTTACCATCTGAAACAGCAGCAGCTGCGCTCATAGTAGAATCGACAAATGTGCTTAAATGCTTTTCTTTGCAGATTTATATTAAAGATCTACGGCACTTCCAGGCAAATTTATAATACGCCGCATAAGAAAAATATATTGACATTATCAAATTACTCCTATGAGTACATTAAAAAATAACAAAAACTTACCCGGAGTGCTGACATCTCTTTAATCACTGTTAATAAATAAGTGTACGGCGCTCACAGATGGCGCTCAACCACAGCCAATCCTTCGATGTACCCAGTAAATCCTAATGATAATGACAAATAATGCTGATGGCTTTTCAATAAGATCCAAGTTTCGTTTCTTTGGAACTGGATAACTATTTTATTTTTTCTACATATATATTCCAGAGGTATACATTTATTTGTTGACTAACTACTATTTAAAAAATACGTTACCTCCTTTATTAATAACAAACGTAAATAGTTTACAGTTTGGCTCTGAAACGACCAAAAAATGTAATAAAAGTTTGGAAGCTCATAAAAAAAATAATTTTTTGAAGCAAATCGTCAAGCGATCTATTTATCTAGCAAATTCTAGTTGGGGAGTACCATAAAATGGGTGAGAAAGTACCGGCATAGATTTTACAAACCGTCCTTATTAAAATTACAGGAATACTACCTCAACTAAACTTTTTAAGAACTTTGTAGCGGACTATTTCAGGATTCATATACGTGAGCTACCAGTATACCTAACTGGTATTGCCTGGCTGTGGGGTACGGTGCTGAGGCGTGTGTGTTATGATGACAATAATCAGTATCGATAATCGGTAATTTTTTCTCCCTAAAAAAATTGGACAATGCCAGCAATACATAGAAGTATATTTTCTTTTACGTTCATGTTTTTAATTGTACGTATTCGTGGTAATTTTCCTGTAATTCCAATCTGGCTGACCAAAAAAGCGACCACGTTCTGGTCCGTACTTTGGGTTCTTTATTAGAGGCAACGCTAAGAACTAAACCAATATGAAAATAACTAGTTTTTTGACAGCATGGCGGGTTTATTTTCAAATCTACACCAAAACGAAAAAAAAAAACTATGTAGAGACACAATGTATAAGATTTAAGGTATCCGAGAAAAAATATTCGTATCTTAATTGAAGAGCTTACGAACTTAAGGTCAAGAACTTAGGAAATAGTCTTCGTCACTGTTTCCCTCATGTTAGCCCGTATGCTTTCACTGACCTCCTTGATACGAATTTCAACGGAAAAATTGCTCTGTATGCACGAGACGGCGATAGTTTTCTTTCCAGTAAATTGTAAAAAAAAAAGTAAAAGACTACCCTGGATTTTAAAAAGGCATTTCAATAAAACGGTAGATACTACTCTCATATATTTATGTCCGGGCATAGCGAACGACAAACTGTCTAATATACGTACAATGGCATAAACAGCATTCAACACAAACAGATTTTAGTAAGGTGTTAATATTGTTGTCGAAAAGCTCTGATGGGATGTGTTAACAATTGAACATTTAAGCGAGTACTCACGTAGTTTTCTTTCCATTTCATCGCATCGCCGAACCTCATTAACGAATTTACGTTGGAACGCATTTGTGGTAGAATTTAGCTGCAAAATAAGATAGTCCACTGAAAATGTTAGCCTCAATTCACTAACTTATATATGGCTTTTTTAATATCTTTTAATGAATTCGCCCTTTCGGAACAAGTGCAATGCAGCAATGCAAAAAATTCCTGCAAAAAAGAAAACCAGTTTTCTGAAGAATAGATACATCTCATTACGAAGTTTTCGAGGACGCATCTGGTATAATTACAATACGCCATTGCGGCAGTGCTGTTGTAAGTGGTCGGTTAGTTAAATGAAATTTAAAAATGCACCAAGGGGCATCCAAGCCATTAAATTACAGGTGTCACATGCCGGTAATTTTAATTCTTACTGCACAGAGAGCTATTTTTGACATTATGTTACTCTAAAGAATTATTATTAACTGCTTAACAACACTAGTTTCTCTTGAACATATAAGTTGAATACACTATTATTATTAAAAAAGCCAAAAAAGAAAGAATTTGAAAAACATGTAATATATTCCTTACGTCCTGCAATTGAGTTGACTAGGCAGGTTTATTAGTTTCTGGTTTACTGTTATATCTGCTGAGTCGTGATCGTAATGATGAGTTAAATACTACAGGGTGAACTACCTGATTCCTAACAATGCGACGACCATTGTGACTTTATGGCATAGTGTTTGGATGGATAAAGTGTTCTTTGTCAAAGAATATCCGATCATTCTATGCGTGAAGTCACCGAAAGTTTTTGTTAAATCAATTACGCTTTTCGGAAGAAGAAGGAGGGGGTTCTGATTTTTTTTTCCAAAGCCCACATTAATGAATGTAGATAATAGTGATCAGCAACACACAAAATCGCACACTATATTTCTTCCGTTAAGGCTAGAAGCCTTCCTGTGATATTATGATGGGGTCTGCTTCATGGGGTAAGGAATGGATACGATATAAATATAAAACGCAGAGCGCAAAAGCTTTTTTTGTGAGATAACTAAAAAGATCTGCTTTAAAAGAAAAAAAAATTGCTTCTTTCAGTTCTCGAATCACCAACTGCCGTGTTCAACTTACTTAAGATAACTAAACATTATGTACAGAATAGGCAAAAATCCCTGTGGTCTCTATGACAGTTTACAACAAACGCGGAGCAAACGACGTATGTTCCCAATTTATATTAATGCGTGCCAATGATGTGAATAATAGTGCTATATATATGTTAGGCATGTAACGATAGCCATAGGAAATACTTGGATGCTCCCACCAAATATCAAATATTTTTTGCCCTCGTTAATTTCAGTGTAGAGCCCTGTTTAATAAACACTACGTCTACCCGGTGTGCTGCCATAACTATAACTCAACTCTTCTGATGTTGGCTCATTTTTGAACTAACTCGATTTTAGGTTAACAAACGTACACCCGTACGCCGTATAGGCTTAAAACCCATTCACTTGTAATCGACGCAGGCTAGCTCTCTCGATTTTTACCTAAGTTTAGAGTGCGTTTTTTTATATTTACTTTCTGACAGAATTATGGAACAGGAAAGGGTTAAAAGCGCCTCTGACTGACTGGACCGAACAAAAGTGCCCCAGATTGTTTCGACTCCATAGCAAAATTGTGCGCATAATTCTACATCATCTCTTCTTTAATTATCTTGTCGACCTTTTTACATCACTCGATCGGGTATCTGGGAAAACAAAACAGTTGTGTATGGCTACTTATTATTAAATGATTAACTTTAGACACAGCGTTAACTTACTAGCGTAATAATGCATGGTACCACTCATTTGTTACTATTGATTATATGATATCATTACAAAAAAGTTAGTCGCAGTATATTTCTAGTTGTTGGGGCAATAGATAACTTACATCTCTAAACTGGACGAGTCCGAGTTCTCCTAGCTCGGCAACACAAGCGTATGCTGCTTCACTTTGTAGGAAGAGTTGACACAAGGTCATTTCCTCGGAGCGAAGCAGGCTTCCCATTTTGACCCGGAATCGGATTTACCGTACCGAAAACTGAAAAAAAAAACGAACTTGAAAGAATTTCATATAGTGGAATATCTGAAAATTAACCATATGCGCTGTCGGTCGATTTCAAATCACTATTAACAATGATACCAATTACCAATGTACGATCCACACTACATAGCTTACAACACCGTGGAGGTCAGTGAATCATCAAACCATATACGTCCTTAGTAAAATTATCGAAAACTGTGACTGACTTCCCGACTTTAAAAGCTATAATACCATAATGTGCTAGGAAAACTGAAGTCGTAATTTTGACGTAAAAAAACTATTTCAGTAAAGTACTTAGTCGCTTTGTTCAAACACGCAAGTTCGCTACAAATAAATTATACGTTAATTATTTATTTGGATGTTGTTCAGCACAGTGACGTTCAAGTGTAGCCCCCGACTAATCAGCTTTATGTCACCGTACAATGTTGGTTCCAGATAATAAACAACTGCCATTTTCCGTATCAGCAGATGTCGGTCAGGAAGCATCTGTATAAGCAAAATCACCGAAAGTATACTGACAGAATACTCGAAACCTGACTATAAATTATCTGTTATAATATATCTATTAAACCTTAGCCGCTAAGATTTAATTATAGCAACATGCATGGAATACCGGTATTGGTCACTCGTAATACTTTTGATCAGCTGCACTGCCCTGGAGTTATTTTCCAAACAGGTATATTAAGTTTTACTCACCAAGAGCTTGCCGATTGTACTCGTCAAAGGCAACAGATCGTTTGAGCCTCGGGAAATTTACTACTCCGACAGTCAGGGACACTTAGCAAAAGATCTTCTACAACATGTACACGAGAAGCCCTGTCATCCAACGAGTGCCCACCACTCGTTTGGTAGAGCTCTACAACTGCCGTCACAGATGGCCTCTCGCTCCACCATGAGGGGCACCAATCACCGCAGGCACGGCAAGATGGCCGCGGCAGACGGATTCTATTGTGTCTCCTATATTCCAATTGCAACACTACAACTTTCCAGGAATACTTGTCTATGTTGCGTCAAATTCAACAGTTCGTAACAACACTGAACATTCCTCTCGAAATTTTAGGTGAAAAAACTACCTAATAAGTCACATTTATGGGGGTATCCGGTGGCAACTCATTGTCCTACCACTCTAAATAGAACACTGTGACGTCCTCTTTTCACTTCATTCATCCTTCTACACGTCCAGGCAGAGCGCGACATAGATATATGATCCGAAATGGGAAGTGCCCCGCCAAAATTTGAATGTGCGATAGGTTCGGGGTAACTCAGTGATACGGCCGTAAACTGCGGTTTTGTTCTTACCACTGGCTTGCTATGAATTTATGACATTGTTCCAGCTAAACTAAACTGTGGTCTAGGCCTAGGTTCGGATTTACTGATGATAATGCAATTTATTCCGATAGATTCTCGTATTGGTGTTGACCTGAAACTGCTGCGATATTTTTATGTGTTTTGTGCCTATTGATTCACGTCAATCTTATTGTTGATTTACAAGCTAAAGTTATTGTCAGCTCCATGTGTTTTTCCATTAATTATACTTTTGCGTTTCCAACGAAGTTCAGGGATTCTATTAAGACACTGAGAACATGATTGCTAGCCACACACCCTCCTCAACAGATGACAGTTCATCAAACATCTCCATCGAATCACATTGCCGGCCTATTTTTCTACTGTGTGTCAACCAATTCGTCGGCGTTCCTCAGATCAGGCATACAGTACAGTAGTAGTGGCGAAGAAGGAAGGCCTCCCTGAATACTGGGAGTTAGAGCCAACAGAACTTCCCAATTCCTCCTGTCCGTACTAGATCTGATGCTGCTCGGAGCGGTGTTTCTTGTCCTGTTGTGGAAGTGAGTGTTTGCACAACTTAATTATGTACCGGTCCTCAATACAATCAATGTTTATTTGTGTTTTCTAGCACATTGTTGTAGAAGCCAGTTGGTTTGACGCGCGAAAGAATGGTGTTAGTTGGAAGCGAGAAAACTTACACAAACCTATAGCGATTGTCCTTTTAAGAAGGCCAGCTTGCTACGAATAGAGGAATATCCGCGAGCAGAGACCAACGGGAAGTGCGGGTAGGTGAAATTTTTCTGAAGTTAGCTTTATTCATATCTAAATGATCAGAAGCGATACTATACTCAAAAAAGAAACGGCGACCTCCTCGTTTTCCTGTATCCGATTATGTTGAAGTCAGTCAACTTACATAGATGCCTTTCTTGGAACAACCTTTTTGTTCCGAAGCATAGATGTTAATACGGTGTAGTTCGTTTACGCGAAAATTCGCAAACGTTGCGCCGACAATTATTGAATAAGTAAAGCTAGATTTGTCGCATTTTAGAATCACTATGAATTGTTCATGTGATATATAAAACGATATACAGTGAATAATCAAACTATGCGCTCAGTATCGTTCCTGTTATTAATCATGTAAAATAAGCATACACATCACTATTTCTCTCACACCTGCCCCAAATCGCTCAAAGGTAGTAAATTTATAGGTTAAAACATGCTGTTTGAATATCGAATTTACTGATAATGAATTGTAGCTTCTGCCTACACACGAATAGTACAAAGACCAGTTCGTTTTTTGTTTCTTTGCATTAGCAATAGTACTATCGTTCAATAGAAGCTATAATTTAATATTATTTCTTAGTATGTCCAATTTTGATATGTCCATTCTACTACAAAATATTTTTGTTTTTGCGCAAGAGATAGAACTAGCCTAATCGAAGTATACAAAAGCTAACTTTTTCTTCTTCGGTTATTTAAAACGTACGACCGCGTACCAAATAACATCATATAATACAAAGTCTTATATGTAGAAATCCGTTGCACTTTTTCTATATGCAAACAGCGCCCCTACTCTAAAATAAAGCAGCCTACTTGGTGAAGTCTTAGGGCATTTCTTGAGGATTCTGCCACCATGATAAAGTTGGTATTAAGGATATATTCGATAAATTTCATATGAAAAGGATACATTGTAGTTTGATATTTCATTTTAGCATTAATGTCACACTGTTACTAGAGAGAGACAACCACGTCACGACAGTTAAAAATCTGAGCTAATTTTTGGGGGTTTGCTTTACTTTTTTATTTGTGGTTTATTTGAAGTTCTGATAGACAGTTTGAAATTTAATCTATCGTGCTAATTTAATAGCGCTTTAGGAATTGTTGTAACTAACTAAACACAAAATTGGTTATAGTTAGTTCACAGTGGAAAGAGGTACGTCTACAGTTGGGGAAAATCACTTGACAATGTGGAAGAGAATAGTTTATAGCTACAGGCTAATTGAATTGGACCTTTACTTTTTTATATTTGGTCGTCTACTTTTCTTGTAAAGGTGAGTCCTTTCCCATTGTAAGCTAGCATTCACTGTGTAAACTAGAAATGTAAATATAAAAAGCTAAGAATGTAATACAGTTTCAATCTATTGAACGCCCGTGCATTAAAAATTTGTTACAATCTTAAAAAAACATTGTCTACCAAAGGTAAAAAAGTCCCACTTTGTTCTTTTCTTTAGTCATATGTTCTAAACTGCAACGTTTCCTCGCCCATTTTTCAGCTGTAGGAAAACTGCTCTATACTTTCGGAGGCGCTATCTGAGTTTAAGGCGGTTTCAGAATTTCTCATTGCCGTTGACAATATATACAGATGGACAAAGAGAAAAACTCCTCAGATAGTCGAGACAGCGAAACTCCTGACAAATCTTTAACGGAAACACACGGCAACAGCGGCGATGCAAAACAACAGTGCGAGGACGACGATCAACAAGTTTGTAACGTTGAACAGAAGGAACGAGGTACCAAAGATGACGTGAAGAAAATTGACGATGCCGTTCGAAAGAACGGAGGAGAAACCTCATCATCGGCTGAGAATTTGATTGAAAGTGGCGCTGAGAAAAACGTCAGTACGAACGAAGGTCATGATAAAATTGAAGAGGTCACAAAAAAAATGGAAATCAAATCTACTGGTAACACTGAGGTGAGAATATCCTCTGTAATGCACTAGATCTCTTACACAAAGAATTGTGGTCTAAATAATTCTTAATTCGTATGGTATGATTAAAAGTAGAACAGTTACATATCATCTGGTGAACATAGATTATTGTCAGACATCAAATCAATATATTCATCGCGCTTTTTAGGTTAAAATGGAACAGAGTCGAACTGATGGAGATGGAAGTAATGCGAGAGGCGCCGAGGATAAACTGAAGAGTGCACCAAAAGACAAATCGTCAGGTATCAACGGAAAATTAGTTTCTACTCGTTTTAGATCGACATGATTAACATAAAATTGTTTTTTATTCTACTATGGAAATTATAAAGCCTGTCCACATATTCGCTTTTTGATTCTTGTTTTGATTTTTTACAGCTCAGTGCACGTTTTTTAATAATTGTAGAATATCGATTGGGCACGATTCTTCGTCAAATAAAATATAAATGGCCGACTTTGTTCTTAATTCTCGCAACCTATTATCCTATTATAATTGGCCAAAGCAATGTCTCATTCATATTCCTGTGGTGAGAACCTCCTTCATTTTTCCAATCTGTTGTTTTTTAAAAAAGAAATTACTAGAGATTGAAACCAATCGAATTTAATATTATGTGCACAAAATAAGTAAGCTTTTCACAATAAGGATAGGCTGGTCCGTTACGGTGGCGCGTTATTTCATTTCAGCGTGGTATATCTAATTTTCGCTACTACTGAAGTGTGACGTTACTTCAGTTTTCAACCTTTTTACCAAGTTCATTCTGCGAGCAATTTGGCTGGGCTTCTATTAGTAATATGCACTGGCGTATAGTTATATTCCGTTAAACTAAACACATTTCTACATTGAAATTGAATTATGCAGATCAGGCAAACTGTGCTACAGAAAACTCAACTAGCTTTAAAGAAGATGAAGCACAAGTCTCCACTGGCTCCGCGACGGATACTCCCGCCGTTAGCGGCAATAGTATAAAACCGAAGACAGCCGAAGACAAGCAGTTCGAGGAGAATGTCAAGTTCCTTTACAGAAGCCATCAGCGGGAGCCTGGCAAACGCAGGGTGAGGAAGGACCACATTTACTAAACCATTTTTGTTGTTTGCATTGTACACTATATTTGAGCCAAAACATCTATTAAATATTACGCTAGCTACAATTATTAGAAACATGCATCAGGGTGATTAGGAGGGGCATAAAAAATATGTATGCACCACACCTTGCTACTAATTATATTCAATGTAGTTGGTAGCATATAACTAATCAAAATTATTTATTTCCTAGTATAATTTAGAACAATTTAGAATATTTTCATTTCATTCACATGAATCCTCCGGGATATTACGTTTTGCTTCCACTCTATATGTTTTCTTGTCTAATAAACTTTTTGGTAGGCAATGAAAACTGCTGATAAATTCTTACGTCTTTTATCATCAGGTGAAGCCGAACCTTCAGCTTCTGGAGATGGACTTGAATATCCCCGAAGAAGATTCCGAGGATGACTCAGATTACAAAGCAAGTTATGCTTAATAGTTTAGTGATTATTGCTTTTCAATTCAGAACAGTCGACATATTTTTAGTACTGATAATAGCAAGTTAAGATTGTACCGAAGTACTTTAACTCTTGAATTATATACCGCTTTTATAAATGGACTTTAAAAGCATTATATAAATGTACTGTGTTTGTTGGATTATAAAGGGAAAAGCATACGCGTTCGTGTGAGCACCTAGATAATGGTAACACATTATTCTATAGTAAGTACATAGTAACGGGTGCATTTCAATCTATACGCCTACTGTTGCATAAATGCAAATGCAGTCTGAGGTATTCTGTTGAATTTTAATTATTGACATTAGCGTTTTTAGTTACGGCTTTGCTTTGAGAAATCAATCAACGTACATTAGAAGTTCAGTCATCAATAAAGAGAGATTACTTGTCGTTATAGTCATTCTCTGATAATACCCTTTCAGGGCGAGCATAAAAATGTTTTAAATTATAAATTCCTAATGCAGGGCTCACCCTTACTCTATTATTTAAGAATATGGTATCCGGACTGGTGCAGTAGTGGCGTCTGTGTGTACGCGTAGATGATACTATTTATGATGATTGGTCATGTTCTGCAGGTCGAGGGAGACGAAGATGGAGACAACAGCGATCCTGGTTCAGAAGCAGGTCCAGATGAGGATGAAACAGCGGAGGAAAATTCAACCGATACAGATAGCGGTGGTTAGCAGTGGACATTAAGTGACAGCTGCGTGATGATCTATGTTGTGTTCCTTGAATGGGCTGTTAGCTACTATCTATTGGTTATAGAAGTCTTTAAATTTTATTGGGAAAGAAAAATGTAAAATATTTTTCTTTCCCAATAAAATTTAAAGACTTCTATAAAGATGTAAAATATCTACGGCGTACAAAACAATCATTTTCATTCTATAAACGTTTTAAAGCAATTTGTGGACTAAGTCGACGCTATTTAATCTTTTTTGACCGCCCAGATGATGATAGCGACGAGAATGCCAGCGACGAACCTGATGGTGGTACGCTCGACATGAAAAAGCATAAGGAAAAGAAAGCAAAAAAGCGAGAGAAAGGTGGAAAAGAAAATCATACGGCGAAGGAGAACGGCCAGCCACAGACGGCGCTGGATAAAGCAAAACTGATTGCAGAGAAAGCCTTGGATGTAGGTGATAAACTTCTTATTAAACATGTCATTCATAGTCAGTTAATTTCCAGAAACGCAGCTTCAATTTTTTAACAATATTGCAAGTAGCTAATATGCTGCATTTAAGAGAATTGTATAATATTTCACTCTAAAGGACGTCTACTGTTTAATAATTCGTGTCCAATTTTCAGCTCAACGGTGCTGCAGGAACAGCTGTGAAAATTCTCGTATGCAACATTTGTCTTGGCGATCGTTCAGCAGAGAGTGACGAGATCGTAGAGTGCGATAGCTGTGGTGTGACTGTGCACGAGGGTTGCTACGGGGTATCAGATAGTGATTCGGTCCTGTCGACAGGAAGTTCTGCATCCACTGAGCCTTGGTTCTGTGACAGCTGCAAGGCCGGGGTGCTAGCACCTAACTGTGAGCTATGTCCTAACACAGGGGGTGAGTTGTGGCTGAGACATCAGGGATATAAAAATGAATGCTTTTATTTATGATTCATTTAAAGACCAGCTGAACCAAGTACATATATGTAATTTTAAATCGTCTCAGGCAAGTTACCTTAATTTTACTTTCGAATGCGCCATTCATTCACTTGGAATTTTCAGGCATTTTTAAAGAAACCGATGCCGGTCGATGGGTGCACCTGGTATGTGCACTCTATACCCCTGGCTGTGCGTTTGGCTCGGTGGAAAAGTTGACTCCGGTCACTTTGTTTGAAATGCAGTATTCGAAATGGGGCCAGCGGGCATGTCATCTGTGTGAAGATGCGATGATGGCTAGGACCGGCGTCACAATTAGTTGCGACGCCGGTATGTGCCGTATTAGTTTTCATGTCACCTGTGCTCAACGGATGGGCCTCTTATCCGATGCTAATCCCGAATACATTGCTGATCCGTTCTATGCTCATTGCAAGGTTTGTTGGATCAAAATTTAAACCCATTACGTTTAACGAAATGCACGTCTATTTTTCTTTTTCGTTTCCTCTAGTAGTACCTAGTAAAAAACCTATGTAACTCTCTTGATAAATTTTCGCAAACTTATATGTATACACATATATGAGTTACTAGTAACTGGTTTGGCTGTTATAGGTGCACGTGGACAAAAGCAAAATGAAGGCCAAAAAGAAGAACTGGTCCATTCTGCAACATCAACAAAGAATTCGCAGAGAAAAAGAACAGCGCGAAGAGGCCGAAGGACAGGAGTTATCGAAGGAGAAGGAACGAGTTCTACGTAAACTCACATGGCTACGAGACAGGTCAGCAGCAATAGATGTACCTCATCATATAAGCTATTTAATTTAATGTCATTACTTAGAACAGCAAAACCAAAACGGTAAGCTGGTTTTCTAAAGGTTTAGATAAAATAGTGGAATATGACTATTCAAAATATTCCAAAGGTAGGACAGCTTGTTATCCTTCAATTTTATTTAAGTAGGTAAATCTGCAAAAGAATGTATAGATAACTTTTAAGTGTACCGGGCTACATCATAGTTACATATGCAGATCACTTTGGCAGTACCATAAAATTGGTGTGTCTTCTTAGATACGCAAGCAATAAGGCTTCGAAACCAAAACCGTGGCTACCGACGCAGAAAATGCCTCGTCTGTTACATTCTTCTTCAACTGCCATTGAAAAGTTTAGGAGAAAAGCCGATCTATACGGATTATCTCATATTCTAGTCGCGCCGCCTGAGGACAAACGGTATGTAAACATTTTTTAAATGATATCTTTATCAGCCAGAAACCTTACACTCACTGTATTTTAATTAACTATGCACCATACACGTAGACAAGTACAGGTATTACATAATAATAAAAATCTATTTATTTTTCTAATACTGCAAGATAACATTATTTTCTAAGTTTCCCAACAAATAAATACATTTGTCGCACCTAAATCTATCTTTTACATAATATTAGTATAATATAGGTATTATTTGATTTTTAAGCTTGAATATATTAATAAATGATGGACTGAGTAGGTCACATTTTTGTGTAAATATTTCTTTTATATACTTCTATATTGAAAACTATTTATGCAACCTTTTGCATTTGGTTTTAGAGGCATACCACATTGGAAACACAGTTTTTTTATCGGATCAAACGAGCTCGTATGTCTATTACGATACAAGGTAACTTCAGCTGTGCTTTTTTTTCTGTGAACAAAGAAATAAATTAATCGGTGAGTGTTTTTCTAATATATCATCATTGCAGATGGCACGGGCAGCCTGCGTTTTCGGCGGACTTTGTTGCTTATTTCTTAGATCGGCAAAGACGCTTCTATGAACTAGAGAAAAGTCTCGAAAAAAATATCGATGAAAATACAGCGCTGCGAAAACAACAAGCTCTCATGAATCAACTCTACGAAAAGGCATGAAGGAAATCTGCTGTTTAAAATAGGCATTTCCCCTAGCGATGAAAATTCCACGACATAAGGCTCTGTGGCAAAATAGTGTAATCAACGAACGAATGAATAATTATTTTCTTATAATATTCGTGTATTGCGTAACGCATGTTTTTATATCGAATATTTGGCTTGTATATGTTTATACCTGCTTGCAAAAGTCGGTTCACATATATTCATAAAATCATGCAATTATTCCAATTTAGGTAGCCGCTGCTTGCAAGAAAGAACGAGAAGATGGCCGCTATATAACAGCAAAACTAAATGCCCTCTGGTCACCTTTGAAAGAGATTGGCGGGCTCCGTTACGAACCACGTATTCTTGAAGAAAAAAGGCAACGAGAGCAAGAAAAAGAGAACGGAAATGCAGTTGGCAGTGGAGACGAGCAGTTACAAAAGCAACAAAGTGCTGGATTACACGCCGATAGCGTGTCTCCACAGAAAATCATTAAGAGCTGCAAGGTAATGCTTCTAATATAGAATAGATGTTCTAACCGAACTGAAAATTTAGTACTAGGTATTAAGCATCCGTTTCGGTTTTTTTCGATTAGCATTGGTAACAGAATAAGGAATGGATAATTGTACTCCATGTGTTGCACACATATCGTGTATAAAACACTTTAGGATACGTCCGAATGTCTTCATATATAATGGAATTAACTATTTAGATCAAAAGCGCAGTATTATGAAGAACGAAATTCGGCCACTGATTGCTATCTTCTGATTGAGAGCAATGTCAAGAAACTTCGGCACCGATATATCTAAAGTAACTTTTTCGCTTTACTTCATTTCTTAGGTGTGTGGTTCATCTGACGAGCCGCACCAACAGCTGGAGTGCGAGCAGTGTAGAAGCTGGTTTCACCTCTTTTGTCTACAGCCTCCTCTAACACGCTTTCCCAAAAAGTCCAAAGGCGTTAACTGGCTCTGCGAGGACTGTCTCGAGGCAAATCGCGTCCAAGCCGAAAGCGCCAATGCACTGGTGCTCTCCTCGTCGCGAAGGCATGGCCTTACAGTTTATAGATGTATCCATTCGCAGTGTGTTTATTTGATGTTCTATATTTTTAAGCGGCTGGTGCTGACTACAATTGATATCATCAAGTAGACCTTACCAACATACTGTTACTATAATTTCGATTTTATGTGCTTTAAGGAACACGTACAATAACCCTATCGTGGGATTTTTCATCGGCTACTCATGATTTATTAATGTAGCTTCACAGTGGATAACTGCTTCGTACCGTAAAGTGCACACTTTCAACGATACAATTCAAGCTGTTTTGCAACATTCGTAAAGCACTCGTATGAACTAATTTAAACTTAAACGCTAAAGCTTGAAAGACAAGTGATTAAAACTGAAATTTGTGAATATAGATTCTATAAAGTGACGAAACATGCTCTTACTGTTGCTTCATGATTATAGGTCCAGAGGCCAGTCTTCACGGTTGGCTCGGGAAACGAGCTTGGATGCCGGCGAGGAGACTGGCTCTAGGCCGGCGCGCGGACGGCCAGCAGGAAAGAAAAGAGGACGTAAACCTGGCAGCAAAAACAAAGATAAAAGCACCAAGGAAAAAGAAGAGGCACAGTCGGCAGCTATTGCTGCTGTATCAACTGAAGCAATACCCTTGAAAGACAAAGAGTCTCGGGGTAAAGATAAGGAATTAAATGCGTTAAGCGACAGGGAGCACTCCATAGGAAGACCCGGCGCTGATGGCGCAAAAGAAAAGGAAACTAATAACAAGGACAAAGATAAAGAGAACGAAAAGGAGGTCCCGCCTAGTAATAGAGAGAGCGACGCAGAGACCGAAGATGATGTTGCCATGGGCCTAGACGAAGAAGATGATGAGCCATCACCTGAAAAGAAACAACCAACGAGGGGTCGAAAGAAGCGAAAAGGACCAGTACCTAAAGGAGGTCCTGGTGCAAAGCGAAAACGTGCCTCGGCTAAAGAAAAAGAAGCTGCAAAAGAAGGTGAAGATGACGCAGACAGTGAACAGGATGAAGATATGGATGTCGAGGACATTAAAGACGTCCAAGATGGGGCTGCAGCACCCAAGAGGGACAAAGATGAGCACATAGCTGGCAAAAAAGGCGGCTCCTCGAAACGAGATAGTGGCGGAAATCGGGATAAACAACACCAACATGCGGACAACGTGGATGATCACAAAAAAAAAGAAGATAAGAAATCAAGCCCCACTAAAGAAACCGATAAGGTTAACGATGATAAAGGCGCTAGTAAAGGTTCAGACGAACACGAGAAGGACACAACTGTCAAGGAGTCGCCATCGGTTGGTGGAAAGGGTTCCGCCGGTAAGGGCTTGAGTGGTAGTAAGGAAAGCAAAGAAACAAAAGAGTTCAGTCCCAAAGAAGCCGAGAGGACTGATACAAAGTGCGGAACAACAGGCCGTAGGGAACGTGATAGTGCAGGCGGTACAATGGCCGGCGGCGATGGACGTAAGCACTGCGTCAAGTGTAACAACGCGGAAAACACAAATCAGATCGTCATGTGAGTAGATCATAAAATTAATTGCACGAACCTCGTCACATTTAAAGTAATATGATAATATTGTGTGAAATGTATGTTCAAATGTAGGTAGTAGCACAACAGAAATGGCTGTGTGTATGAAATGTCAAAAGCTTTCGTTGCATAAATTAAACGAAGATCTCGTAAACAGAAAAAAAATAAACAAGGAAATAGATCGAGGATGCTATGAAAAGTTTAACTCCCGAAATACAGCTTGAAAATCTTCCTTACCAGTGCATTTTGCTTTTCCGTAGTAAACTTATAACATAGCAGCGATGAGCTTATATTTTCATTCAAACTTGATTTCATGGTTAGCTGCGACGAATGCGGATCAGCCGTTCATTGGGCCTGTTTAGATCCACCATCGAAGAAAAATCCCAAACCGCGCGGATACACGTGGAATTGTGACGAATGTGAAGCCAAACTTGAAACGACGGAAAATAATGTCACAAACGGTGCTGGTCAGGCAAACAGTAAGAACGAAGCCAAGGACAAATCAGCCAAACCAAACGCAAGCAACAAACAAGAGAACGAAACATCAACGACAGCGGCGATTACAGAAGCAAAATGATTGCACAGTATTGTGCCATATATATATATATATATATATATATCAGTGTAGATCATTCATTAATATCTCGTACTCGAAAGACACTGATATCACGTAGAACTGAGTGAAGGGGACACGGTGGTGGAACCACGGCATAGGCTTACAAGTCAAAGACGACATTTCTTTGTATATTTTCCGTTTTTTACATTGCCATGTTCGCATTTATGGCAAATCAGATGTTATTCGTAATACTTTTATCGTTTTATTGAGTTTGCTCACGAGTCTCTAAACATCCTGCATCATAAGCACGAACGATGTATATAGATTTATGGGGGTTAAGGATGAAGAGCAGGGGTCTCAATAACAGTACACAGAAAACGACGACACACGAGAGCATTTTTAATTAACGTCAAGGGATGGGCGAAAATAGATTTTCTTTTCACAATCATCATACATAGGTCTTCATGTGATTAAAAGTGGCATCTAGTTTTTACCCTTCATTATAGAAACGGTGCGCACATTTCTGAATAACAAGCGTAGGTTTGAGTTGATCATCAAATTTAAGCTCCTGAGAGTTAATACAGACATCACTTCTGGGTTATAATGATTCTGGCAAATATTTCAACCTATTAAAGTCGCACCTTACATGAGCAGCTGTTCCTCCAAACTGAAGTGCATAAACAGATTATCTTATCGGTGTCCTAGGAGTCAACCACTACAGGCAGATACTCTCATATTAAGTCAGCCATCCCTTATGGATTGAAAGTGATAGCGTACTAGAAATAGCCATCAGATTTGACAAAGAATATGATCTTGAGAACAAATGATCGCGACTGTACAGGAAGGATGCTCTTCTGTAAATGTTCTCACAGGACATTCAGTAAGCTCTCCTGCACGCGTAGTAGTAAAACGCCAGGATATTTTAACGAATTTGTGTATGTATTACCGCATATGTAAGGGGAGTTAATTGAAACGTCGAGGGATCTTATGTTTATATGCTACGTACTGTAAAAATGGTGGTAAGTCACAGATTGCGGACGGAATAGGTCAATTATTTCACAAGTTTCGGTTGTCGTTATGTGACAGCCAGTACCACTACGTATGTGGACTAACAATATGGTGTTAGATATGGCAATGCTTGCAGAACCGCAAAAATACAATTTTTTACTCAATAGGTTGCCGTACATTTCCTACTGTACGCGTGTTATTTTGTTGTGAGTAGTATAATATTGAATTTGTTTTCGGTTTACAAATCCATATA